TCCCCGTGGGAACCGGAGGAGGGCCTGTCTCCGAGCAGCAGGTCCCCCGGATCTGTGCACGCATGCGCGCGCGCTCTCTCAAGTTCAGTTGCACACTAAGGGGGTGGGGAGGAGTCATCTAGAACATCCAGTTCAGACCAGTGAACCTTACCCTGGGGCAGGATGAGAAAGGACCCTCTTCCCCAGAATTTTGAGAAGCCCTAAGGCTGCACCCCGAAGCCTCTAGCCAGCTGCCCTTTATTCCTGAGGAGCGAGAGCCTCTCTGTTTGCTGCCCAGCTGGGAGTGTGCGATCTGCACACCCATGACTTCCTTCCGCCCACTGCCCATGGAGAGCGCACCGCAGGGCTCACCCCCACTAAAAACCAGGTTAATCGGCACGGTGCTTCGGATTATGAACACTGAAGTCTCATTTCTACAACATTCAAGGAGCTTTTTTTTTAACCTACTTCTAACTTTGCTAATAAATTAGCCCTCTGCAGTGGGCAGGTGGGGGCCAATTCTTCCATTTTCACAAATGGGAAGCTGAGTTCTGGAGAGCAGTGTGTTTGGGCCGAAGCTATACCCTGAGTCGGGCGCGAAGTCAGGACTAAGACTGGGGCCTCCAGCGTCCAGGGCCTTGGGAAGGTTAGAGGTCCAGCTTTCCGCCAGCCCCCCGAACTAACTGGCTCTTCGTTCCCTCAACAGGGCTAGTGGTGGTGAATCATTACCTGGCGTTTCAGTTTTTTGCGGAGGAGTATTATCCTTTCTCAGAGGTAAGGAGTGCTCAGTACGTCAGCCTGTTCCCAGCGACAGAGGGAGTAAATGGCACTGGCGTGATGTCTTTGTGAACTCAGCTATGATTTGAAGCTGAGTCTTTTCAGGGATAACAGATTTTTTAAAAACAGTGTAGATGCTTTTTGAAGCAGTGTGGTTGGGAAGCAGGGATCCCTTTGGCTGAGGTGGGGACGACACTGCTCTCTCCCAGTCAGTCCTTTGGGTCTCCCAGGATCCCAGCCTAAGGTCCTGAGGTCAGGAAGGGGCGGTGAGTGGCCTGGTTGGCACAGACCTCATAGGGCAGGACTGGGCTGAGTTTGAACTCAGCTGCTGCTCCAGTTTGAACCTGGGGGAAGAACAAGGTCTCTTCTTTAGGGAATGTGGGTCAGTCATACTTTTGCCCTCCATCTGCCTCCTTCAGTTCAGAGGAGTTGCTGTCCTAGTGACCAGGATCTGGGGATCGTGGCCGCTTGGTCATCTTCAGCCTCCACCTTTCCCCACTGATTTTCTCCATGTCTGGGGATGTCCTGTCTCTGCTTCCTGGGCCCTGCCCCTTCACGGATCAGGTGTGGGCTCTTTGGTGCACGTTTAACCACCTCGCCGAGATGCACGGTGGCCACCCTTGGCCCACCCTTGGCACCCGCAGGGGTACCCTCTTCTCAGTGTCTCTTGTTGCCAGGTCCTGGCCTATTTCACTTTCTGTCTGTGGATAATCCCGTTTGCATTCTTTGTGTCACTGTCGGCTGGGGAGAACGTCCTGCCCTCCACCATGCAGCCAGGAGGTGAGAAGGGGTTTGTAAGGGGTCATGGTGGGAGGATGCCAGCGAGGCCTGAGTTGCTGGGGGAGCCGGAGCCCCGCCCAGGGATGGAGACCCTTGGACTCTGGGCAGGCAGAGCTGTGTTCACGATCAGGCACGCACACTTACCTCCCTGCCTGTGTCTCCACAGATGACGTGGTCTCCAACTACTTCACCAAAGGCAAGCGGGGCAAGCGCTTAGGGATCCTGGTTGTCTTCTCCTTCATCAAAGAGGCCATTCTACCCAGTCGGCAGAAGATATACTGACCCCAGGAGAGGGGATGCGGGGGCAGGATCAGGAGACTCAGGTCCCTGGGCCTCTGCACTAGGTGGGGGCCGTCAGCGGGAAGCAGGCCCCCCAGCCCTGGCCCTCTTTCCCTTGACTTCCCCTGACGCCCCCATCCCTACCCTCCTTGGGAGGCTCAGCTTGGCTCAGTCTGATGCTGCCAGAGGCTGGGACCTCAGAGGGCACCAGGGAGGGGGCGGTGCCTGCTTAGCCAGCAGGCCGTGGTCCACCTAGGCGCGCGGAAGCCGAGCTCCTGTGGCCCTCCTGCCCCCTCCTGTGATGGGGCAGGCGTTCTGGCTCAGCCAGGGCAGGCAGGGCGGGGGCCATGAAGCTGGAGAGCAGACAGTGATAAATTCACTGGGCAGATGGCTGTGGGGAGGGGCCATGACTTAGCACTTGCAAGGGAAGTTTTTGCTGTTGAACTGTGATTTCTGTCCAAGTGCTAATTTCCGTTTGAATAAAGATTCTAGGTGGCACTGTTTGCCTTAATGCCCTGAAAGTTCATCTTCCTTTCTTCCTGCTGCCCTTCCGCCTTGGACTGGCTTTTCTCTGCCAGGGACTCCTTTTCTGGGTTTGGGTCTTGCCCTTCCGGAGGGACTGCTCTTGTGGCCCTTAGTGGGAAGGGGGCCGAGAGGAGTCGAGCTGGGGAGTCAGGGTGGAGGCAGCCTCTCTTAACCCCCGCCCCTTCCATCTCTTCTTTCCCGGAGGCTCCATGACTGTCAGGCTGGGAGCAGAGAGGGGCCAGTGTGGGACTGGGTTAGATTTTCAGAAGAACATCTACAGTATCCTATTTATATAAATCTTCCCTTGGGGAAGAGGAGCGGTTTCTGGCTGAATTCTATCTTAGGCTCGAGGAGAAACAGAATAAAACTTGGCTTCCAGGCAGCAGCCTGGGCTACAGCCTGTTCTTTGGGAAACGGGACTGGTGCAAGCAGCTGTTTGTCACTCCGAGACCTCACAAGGGCTGGCCCTCTCTTCCAATAGCAGGCAGGCCAGGTCCTGGGCCCAGAGCAGCATTTGTTGACCTTGCACTCCAACTGCAGTGCCTTGCAAGTACTCAGCAGTATGTGTGGGAATGAAGTCCCCAGGAGGGCCATCACTGGCCATGTCCTATACCTCAAAGCAGGGCTGGTAGGTGCAGAGCTGGACTGCACACATGTGGTACTTGTAAGCCACTGGGAAGACCCCTGTGCTTGAAAACCTTTTCTCTACATCCTGCCTCAAGTCCCACCAGAGCCCTCCATCTCCTTGGCATAGGCACTCCCATTCTCTTCGGAATACCAGCCTCCCCCTTTCCTTGGAAGCAGTAGCATATTTTGACCTCTCAGTGGGACCAAGGCTGCCAGGCCCTTGTGTCCTATGCAGATGAGGGAGGACAAGTCGAGGACCCTGGGGGCCAGTGTTCTCACAGCCGGGCCAGCAGCTGGCCTTGCTCTCCCTTGCTGTCTATCTCTTTGTTCCTCTCCCCAGCGGTGTGGCTTGGCCCCTCCATTCACTCCACTGCCAGTGTCCGGGGGTTGCCAGTGGCCTTGTGCTAAGTCCAGCGGACCCTCTTCCTGCCTTCTCTTACTGGGTCCCTGCCGCACCCGGCAGGGCTGAGCACCCCCAGCTTCCTGAATCGCACCGCCCTAGCACTGCTGTGGCTGGTTCTCATCCCTCTCTGGCTGCTCCTTTCATGGTCCTGTGCAGGCTTCTCTGCTCACCCTGTGCACAGTGGCATTTCTCAGGGTTCTGTCGCGGGCTCCCTAGGGGAGCCCGTGCATGCCAGTGGCGTCAGTTGAGAGGTGGCCTCCGGCCCCAACATCCCTCTTGGTCATCTGAGCCACAGTTCTGCTGCTGTTGGGAGCACAGGCAACTGTCATGGCCCAGGTGGCACATGTTGCTGTCCTCTGCCAATGTGCCTCTTTTGGGTGCCTGCCTTGGCCCCAAGACCACTCAGGAGCCCGACCAGAAACCTGCTTTCTATGCCTGCTTTTCTGTCTCCCCCACATCCAGTCTCCAGAAACTGTCAAGTTTACCCCCTTAACATCCCTTGATTTGAGCGCTCCCACTTTTATCAGCTTTCACCTGGGTTGTTGTGACAGCCTCCTTCTGCTTCTCTGTCCCACAGCCAGAGCTGTCTCTCCCCTGCATAGCTGACCGAGTCACTCTCTGGCTTAAAACCTTCCATGGCTCCCCACTGCCCTCAGGATAAAGTCCAGACCCTTAGCATAGCTGTGAGACTTGTGAGGTCCTGGTTCCTGCTCGCCTCTCTGGTCTCATCACTTGCCACTTTGCACTCTGAGTTTCAGCCTCCTGTGTCCAGAGATGCCACTTTGATTCCCCTTTCTTCTACTCACCTGGGTACCTTCTCTGTCCATTCTCAACTTAGGTTTCACTTCCTCCAAGGATCTTTGAATTTCCCCTCTCCCTCCGGCACGCCACACAGATCACTCTGGGCATATCTGCCTGCTTACTGGTCTATCTCCCCACTAGACTGTAAGCTCCTTGAGGGCAGGAACTGTCCTTCAGTTTTTGTATCAGCAGTGCCTAGCTTGGCACCTGGCACGTAGGAAGTACTCAATAAATGTTTGTTTAATGAATGACTTGAAGTGATGTGTACAGGGGACAGCAGGGGATCCAGGATAGCTTCCTGGGGGAAGTTCAAGTGCTTTCATAGTCTCAGACTGAAGCTGTAGGTCCTCCCCCGACTCCAGATAGGCTGCCTGTGCCTCCCTGCACTGCAGAAAGCCCAGTGGCAGCTAGGAGTGAAGGGAAGCCCGTGGCTGTGACACATAAGCTGCCTTCCCCATTCTGGATCTGCAGATGAAGAGTGAGGCCTAGAGGCTGCAGCAGGAAGGACATCATTTGAACAAGAGGCAGAATTTCCCAATGGTCCCTCATCCTGGAATCCATGTCCCTGATGAGTGTTGGAGGGGGCAGTAATGGGGACCCCAGGGTGTCACTTTTACAACGCAAGGGCCCAGGATAGAGATAGATCCCCACTCAGCCTGGGCCACTGCCCTAACTCGGATCTCCTGGGGGTCCAAGAGGTTCCTTTGAGGAGAGAAGGGAAGCCTGGGATCCGGTTCTACTGGGGGAGGTGGCTCCAATCCTTGAGCCAGGGAGTGGGCGGCACTCCTTCCCCCCTCCCCATCCGCAAATGAGTCACCACACCTTAGCCTTCACTGGGAAGCCTCAGGTCCAGAGGCTACCGAAGTAAGTTTAAGTGGGAGGTGGTCTGGGGGAGGGCAGAGTGGGGAGCCTTTGATGGGCTCGCACAGCTGCCAGGAAGGCTTCGTCACATGTCTCTCGCAGGCACATGGTCACAGTGTCGGTCCATAAGGTGCCATCACTACTTTCTGGACCCAAGCGCCGCTTCCGGGGGATGTCTCTCAAGGTGACAGAGAAAAAGTCCTGGGGCACCTTCATCCTGTGTGGCCGCACGGAAGGGAACAGCTCACGGATGATCACCTCTGAAGGCAGCCGAGGCACGGGCGCCACCTGGTGGCCGGACACGGTGTACAGGCTCACACCACCGTGCCCATCGGCCCTCATCTTCAGGAAGTTGCTGAAGTCTTGCTCTGGGCGGGGTCGGGATGCACGCCCAGGCGGATGCCCTGCGGGTAGCCGATCTGGGTGGTGGGGGGCCTTGCAACTTTGTTGCTGGGATTCCACACCTTGGGCCGCCTGGCGGTGAGCTGCTTGCTGATGGCAGCGGGCGTCACTGAAGGCAGCTTGGGCCCCATCCGTATCAGGCGTTCCTTCGGGGAGAGGTGGAAGCCCTTGGGAGGCCACAGGTCCCCGCGCGTGGGGGTCTTGGAGAGGGCGGTGGCCCGGGGTGGGGTGTGGGGCCCTTGCTGAGTGCTGTGGACCAGGGAGTGTCGTTGAGGCTGCTGCTTGCGATGGAGCCACTTCTTGAAATTAGCTTCTCTCAAAATTTGCTGCTTTGTCTGCAATGTCAGAAGGCACGAGATAGTTATGGAGGGCTGCTCCCCCTGTGGTTCTGTGCAAAGGCCCTGTGGCTGCAGCCCTGGAGACCTCAGGTCTGACTGAGTAGATACCTTCCTGCCCTGGTCTGGAGAGAGAAAGCCCTGCCTCGTGGGAGCCCTTGTTCTGATGGGGAGACAACTGTTGCCTGGAGGGGGCACCTGGGCTGGACAGAGCCTCTCCCATAGGGGAGACCCTCAATCTGATGGAGATACAGCCTCTGCTCTAGGTGAGGTCTCCAACTTGAGAGAGGAGACAGTCCCTGCCCTACAGAAAACCTTGAGTCTAGAGGAGGAGAGAAGCCTCCACCCCTGTAAAGGAGTTCCCAGTCTGATGGTGGAGACTTGTCCTCCCCTAAGAGAGTCTCTGGTTTGATGCGGAAAAAGGCACATGAGAAGTGAAACTTATCCTTGACCCGGGAAAGAAAAGCAGAAAAGTCTGGAAGGCCAGGAACTGGGTGGAGCTAAAATGGGCAGGCTTCCTGGAAGTGGTGGGCAATGAGATACAGTTGGCTGGCTCTCTAGGCTGGGTGGTGATGCTCTGTCCTTGCCTCCACCAGAGCTGAACCTTCAACTTATTGTCACAGAACCACCCCCTTCCTCCCTCCCAGTCTCAGTGTCACTTCCCAGACTGTTGCTAAACAACCAGGTGGTTTGGAGATTGACCCAGCTCCAGAGATAGGCTCTGATTAGGCTAAGCCAATCATAATAATTCCATCAGCCTTGCCCCAGACCTCAGTCAGTCAGCACGTGGCTTTCCTTTAGCTCTAGGGATTGGAACATGAATGGACACCTGATGCAATTGAGGCCAATACAAGGGGAGTTCTGCAAGGGGCTTCTGGGAAATTTTAGAGCTGCAAGGACAGATGGGCTTTGCCTCCTCTGGACACATGTGACTGTGAGGACTGGATGACAACACCCACAACAGAGGAGGGTAGGACAGAGAAAGCTGGAGAGGAATGCAGCTGGGACAGAGCTGGAGTACCGGATTTTGCCAGCCCCGAAGCCCTCCCCATTTCTGGGTCCACTTAGGATTCCCAGCATCTTCTTTTTGGGTTTTGTGGTACATGCATCCTATGTAGTTATACCTGCTTGAAATCCTTTACTCTCCTTTTCTTCCCCAGCCAAGGTCTGGCATTGATCTGGCTCCTGCCGGGGCTCTAGCTCGTCGGTGTCCAGCACACATCTGCTTCCCTGGCTGTCCTGAACTTGTACTTGTTGGCATACACTGCACTCTCATGTGCCCCTTTGCCTCTCTACAGGGCTGTGTGTCCCTTCCGCTTGGTCAGCCCTTCCCTGCTTCTTCCTATCACCAGCTGCTGCCCATCTTTAAAGACTTTCCTCAAGCATTATCCCTCTGACACCCTCCTCCTCACAGGAGGGGGGGGGCGAGGGAGGCTCTTTCTGGATGGGACCGCTTCTAGCCACTCTTCTAAGTAACCACACATGTGAGTCCCTGCCGCCCCTGCTCCCACACCTGGACCTCAGCTGGTGCCCGGCGGCCCTGCCTGCCCTACCCCTTACTTCATTCTCAGCCAGGAAGTCCTGCTTCATGAGGACCAGCTGGTCCTTGAGCCTCTTCAGTTTCCCCATTTCACGGGCAAAGACTTTCTTGTCCTTTTTCCACATGGCATCCTTCAAGAACCTGGTGCCAAGGTAGGGGCGTGTCACCCTCTCCCTACCCCCAGTGACTGCGCTTCACCCTGGGCAGCAAAGACTGGCCACAGCCAAGGGCCTAGGTGCGGGTGGGTGGAACTGCCAGAGACAAGATGAGCAAGATGGTCCATACCCACTGCCTGAAGCCCCTCTGACTAACTACTTCCTCTGCAATGAGAGAGGAAAGGGGCTGGATCACCACTCTCCAGCTGAGGAGCCAGGGGCCTCAGGGCAAGGAAGAAGGGAGATGCTAGCCCCTGGGAATAACATCGTGGGGAGGGGCCCCCTCCACAGATCATCCCTGGACGCTCTGAACTGCCCAGCCCTGGGTGAGGGCTCTGGGGAAGGGTGGCAGGCAGGGGTTGGCCTTTACATCCTCACCGGATACAGTCGCGGTGGTTCCATATTCTGCAGTAGTCAATGGGCTTGCAGCCCATGGCATCTTGGGCATGGACGTTGGCGCCATCCTGTACCAGCCGCTTCACGCAGCTCAGCAGGCCCTGGCGGGCTGCCAGGTGCAGGGGTGTGGAGCCGTCGCGTGTCTGACTGTGGAGGGCCCCGCCATGGGGAAGAAGACAGAAAGGAAGGGAAAAAATGGCATCTGCCCGTCAGGTGGGTCGGCAAACCAGCTTCTAGGCCCACTGTTAAATCACCCAGCCCCCTGCTCCTTCCCCACGCCTGGCTACGGCCTGCAGGGCCTGCACGACCCGGGCCCTGCTTCCTCCTCAGCCTCAGTCTCTGACCTCGGCCCACTGTCTCCCAACACGCGGCCTTTGCGCCTCAGCCTGGAACACTTTCCTCTGGCTCTTTGCATGGCTGGCTCACTCTCATCCTCTCCTCAGAGGTAACTGCCCCTTCCACAATAGATCTTCTGCCCATCACCCTGCTTATTCCCTTCATAACCACTTACCACGCTCCATCATTTCCTGCATGTATTCATTTGCTAATTGACTGATCCTGCACTACAGCATCAGCTTCGTGAGGGTAGGGGCCATTCTGTGTGCACTGTTGTAGCCCTCAGCTCTGGCACAGTGCTTAGCACATAGCACATGCGAGATATGTAGCATGGCTGCACGAGTGCATTCTCCTCTATAGCATCCTGGCACGTTTCATGCATTTCTCAATGGTCACAGTCGTCTCCTGCGATAGGCACTGTCATCCCCCTAGATTTCAGTTGAAGACACTGAGGCAGTAGTTCCCAAACTCTGCTGCAAGCTAGAACTGCCTGGGGGTCTTCTGAGTCTTCCAAAGCCCAGGCTACACCCCAGACCAATTAAATGACAGCCTTTGGATTGGAACACAGGCACTGATATTTCTGAAGCTCCCCAGTTGATTCCAGTGCATTAACATGTTTGGGAACCAGAACACGGAGGCTTAGGGTTGAGTGACCTGCCTGAGGTTTTGCTGTCTGCTAGGTGGCAAAGCTGGGATGTGAACTAGGTCTGTCCTCTGCCAAAGTCCGATCTCCTAACTAATACACCATGTGGGCTCTCTGCTGCTTTACGTGGGACCCAATCCTTCTGTCCCCGTAACCCCTCTACCCATCCTGCTTGGATCTGCCTGCCTGAAAGTGGGGTTTCTACCTGCTCAGCCTCCAAGCCACCGTCCCCACACAGGCTGGACTCACGTGTTGAGGGCCGCCCCTTGCGTAATCAGATAGTGAATGCAGGCGAGGGCCATGGCCTCGTTGTTCCATTGGATGACAAGGTGCAGGGGTGTCTGGCCATTGTTGGTGGGCAGGTCCACGGGAAACTTGTACTCCTCTACCAAGACCTGCAGGCATGCAAGCCTGCCACTCTGGGCTGCAAAGTGGATGGCAGTGAAACCCTGTGGGGGCCAAGGAAGGCAGCAATTTCTTTGGGTTACCCTCCCCCTCTTCCTTGAACCCCTCGGGAACCACACAGACCCCTTTCCCAGCCCCGTCTGTGTTCACCCTTCTTCGATCCCCCAAAATGGCCATCTACCCAGAAAAGGACGTCTCCAGATACTCCGCAGTCAGCTCTTCGCGCGGTAAGCGGTCTGTGCGGAGCTCTTTGAGGGGTGGGGGGACTTCCACTCTTGCGCCTGCTTTCTGAGGCCTTACCTTGTCATCCGGTCGCATGTCCCCGCGGTTCAGATTTAGACACATCCGCAGCCATTCCAGGTTGCCCAGGGAGGCCGCGAACAGCTGGGCGGAGCTCCCGATCATCCTCTGGTCGCATTCATCCACCTGACTCAGCAAGCTGGGGTCCTGGGAGAGGAAGGCGGGAGTGAGCGCCAAGGCATTTTTGGAGCTGGGCCAGGGCGGGCTGGTCGGCAGGACGCTGGGGAAGGGAACCCAGGCCCCGGCCAAGCCCTGCCGGCTCCAGACCCCGCCCTTGCTGGAGGCCCCAGCGGTTCCCGCGCCCCGCCGCCCGCACACCTGGTCCCTGCGCACCTGGGCCCCTGTGCCAAGTTGTCGTGGGTGGCCTTCAGGGGGACTTTCTTCATGGTCCACGTGGAGTTCCCGCTGGCGCTGCGGACCCGGCCTCGGGGCCCAAGGGTAGCTCCCAGGCGAGGGGGCCGGCAGCTGGCCTCCCTGGCGGGGCGGAACCCACGTGCCTCCGAGCCCGCCCTCCCCGCTCATCCTGGAACCTCAGCAAGACTCCACCAGACTTAGCTTTTGTTTCTGATTATAACATTAGTTAAGTGCAGACCATCAGCAACAGAAAAAAGGACAATGGTGATATTAAAAATCACAGTGCCGCCACCCACGGAAATCACGGTCTGTTAGGATATGTGTATACACGGCGTATACAGTTTTGTGCCTCTTAACATTATAAGCTAGCTGGTCAGTCCACATATTAAACGTATGACCCCACCATAGCCAACGTCATAATGGGTGTGCTGGCATGTCACAAGCGCTGCAGAAAACAAAATGGCTCATCTCTGGTGGTCTTCTCAGGATGCATTCCTAGCTGTAGAATTACTAGGTGAAAGGAATGAACATTTTTTAGCTGTTGCTATGTTTCCAAGCTGCCCTGCAGCAAGACTGTATATTCACTTACACTTTCACCTGCAGTGCAGCTGGTGAGCTGCAAATCAGCTGTGTGACTCTGGTCAAGTAGCTGAGCAATAAATGTTGCTTAAACCAGTGTTGAGTTTACTGAACCATCCACATTCTCACCCCTTCTCCGAAGAAAACAGACTCCAAGCTTATCAGAGGGCTAGTGAGGCCCCAGGGTCAATTCTAGGCGTATCTGGCCACACTGCCCACTTCTAACGACCTTCTCCCCTCTCCACCAGACGTTCCAGGTAGTTCCCCCTGGTAACCTCTATGATGGGGTGGGAAGGGACCACAGTGACCTGCAAGGAGGAACAAAAATGCAGATTCTCCACCCAGAAGAACCTCTCCCCCTTTCCAGGGAAACCTCCTTTGGTAGCCCACTTGCCTTCCAATCGCAGTGGTCAGAAAGAGGCAGCCCCACTCCCGAGCACCTCAAAACCCAGCAAATCCTGCTGGATGCTTGCCCCAGGTGGGACTCTAGGAACTGGCTTCAAATTACAATAAAGTGACAATGCTTTGCAGGGACAAAATTTGAGGATTTCCTAGAAGCCGAGGGATTCTTTGGGCTGTTGCTTCTGGGGCATTAGGGTCCTAACAATGACTGCAAGACACTATGTCTGCATTGGGGTTGGAGGGTGTGTCTCAGGACCTCTTCAAGTAAACCCTCTTTATCTTCACCTGGGGTGTCTTGTGGTCTCTAGACCACCAGTTGCAAACTTGGCTATACCTTACAATTACCTGGGAGAAAAATACCAATGAAAACTCTTTATTCAAGAAAATCCATTAAATCTCAGTTAAAACAGTGAGAGTCTGTGGCACTTAGGCCACAAACTGCTCCTTCCCTTCTTTCTCCCCATCTCAGAGCAATGACTAAAGCTCTGATCCAAGTGGGTGTGGCCAAGAAAATAGGGCTCCCTTCCCCCTCAGCTCCTAGTCAATCTCACTGGCATCTCGCTGGGAGGAGCAGGCTGCCAGCATCTTCCAACAATGTTTCCTCTCTCTGCTCCAAGTTGCAGAGGCTAAATTCCTGATGAGTGCAGCCAAGAGACTGGGGCTCCCTTCCTCCACCCAGCCTTCACGCACAGGGAAGAGGCTTGACTCCAGGCATGGCAGACTGAGAATACTGAGGCCCTGATCACCCTTGTCCCAGCTTACATGCTCATGGGGCAGAGGTTCTGCATTGGGGACCAGAGGCTACCACCCCAGTACCCTGCTCATTAAGCAGGATGTCATTCTGAGAGATATGAACCACTGTCCCTGCCCTCAGCTCCACCACAGAGACTCAGATTCTGTCCAGTCAATCCAGAAAAACTGAGAGCTCCAAAGCGCTCCCCCAAATAACTGACTTTATTTGAAACAGAGCGTGGGGACATTCAAACTTAAGAATGCTCTGAAAACAATGGATATTTTGGTGGTAAGCAATTAAAAACAGCTAGCTGTAGGTCTGCTAGTTTGCTAGAGAGAACTAGGGCAAAAGACAGCTTAGAAGAGTCCTCCTGGGGTCAGAACAAATCTCAAAGACTGGCTTTAAAAACTATTCCCACGAAGAAATATTTGCAGAAGGAGAAGTAAGATGGCGGAGTAGAAGGACGCTTGTAGCTCACCCTCTCCCACAAATACATCAAAACTCACATCTACAGACCCATCAGCCAACCAGAGCACTTGCTGAACTCCAACAGAACATTGCTCTCTTCGAAAGACAAAGATGCCAAAAATCTGGTAGGAGAAAAGGAAAAAGAAAGAAGAAAAAGCAAAACAGTGTGGGACCGGTCCCGCGGGGAGGGAGCGGCAAAGGAGAATAGTGCTCGTTCGCTGGGTCCCCCTAACCCCAATGGAGAGGCCAGAGGGACGGAGGGGGAGCCTCTGAGGCTCAGATCTATCCCGAGCACCCCTTGACCCAACAGAACTAAGTTAAACAGGCACAAAGGGTCCCTGTGACACCCAGCCCGAGACACGAGCTGGCAGCTGGGGGCTGGGGCCAGGCCGCCCGAGCCGGGCGGAGGATGGGGGCGGCTGCACTGAGGCAGCCCCGGGGGATGGCAGGAGGCTGCGCGCTGTGGCTGGGAGGGGATACGGAGCAGAACAGCCTGGGCCCCCCATGAATTACGTTGAAAAAAAAAGCAAAGCAACACTACTGGTGTGCACTGGGGGTAGGGGCGCCGTAGCCTTTGTCTCCTCAGACCCGCTGCGCCATTACTAGCGCTTCTCGGGAGAAGAGAAGTGGGGCGCAGCCACAGCTGCCATACCCTCTTGTGTGCAGCGCCAGGGCGGGGGTGTGGCCAAGACCTGAATCCGCACCCGGGGACTCCGCAACCTCCTGGGCAGGGCTGAGACTTGTTAACAGCCCAAGGCAGATAGGATCTTTCTGCCCTAGTACTTCAGAGAATTTACCCTGCCAAGACAGACAAGGAGCTGAGTTTTGGAACGGAGCAGGGCGGGGCGGTTGCATGGTCTTCCCCGAGCCCACCTATGGAGCATCCACCAGAGGCAGAGCGGGCAGCTGCACAGAGCAGCAGAGCAACTGGCGCCGGGAGAGGGCGCGATCCACCAGCCTGCCTTCCCCCAGCACAGCATCTGACTGCGGCATCCAGAGGGGTAATGACCCTCCCGCCCACCGCGAAGGAGAGCAGCACCTGACCCAGAGGTGGGAGGCAGCACGATCTTCTTGCCAATAGGCACTGAGAGCAGCACAGACAAGAGCGGCAATGGAGGGCCTCTGAAAACAGCAAGCTGAGTTTGCGAAACAGGACGAAGACAGAAAAACTTCTCGATAAAACCATTAACAGCACACAGTCTCCAGGAGAACACATCCTTTTTTTTTTTTAATCTTTTTTCTATCTGTTTTATTTTCTATTACCTTTTTAATCTTTACTTTTTAAACAGTTGTATGTTTACAGTTTTAATCACTTTTAAAATCTTTTTATTATTATTTAAAAAAAATCCACCTCATTTCATTTTTAATTCTCTTGGTTTTGATCTCCTGTTATTGATTATTCACAGGTTTCAAATATTGTTTTTTTATTTTTTCTCCTTTTTATTAAGATTTTTAAAAGTCATCTCAACTTGATTGCTATTCTGCTTCAACTTGCTCTTCTATTATTGATTATACACTGTTTTCAAAGCTTTTTTCCTCTCTTAAAATTCTCCCTTTTATCTTTCGTTAAAATCTGTTCTATTTTCTATTACCTTTTAAAAGTTTACTTTTTAAACAATTGTATATGTCTCCAGTTTTAATCTCTTTAAAATTTTTCTTTTAAAATATTTTCCTTTTTATTTTAATTTTTATTACTTGTAAACATCCACCTCATTTCATTTTTATTTCTGTTGGTTTTGATCTCCTGTTATTGATTATACACAGGTCTCAAATATTGTTTTCTGATCTTTTCTCCTTTTTTTAAGTTTTCAAAAGACGTCTCAACTCAACTGCTATTCTGCTTCAACTTGCTCTTCTATTATTGATTATACACTGTTTTCAAACCTTTTTTTTCTTCCATTCTTTTAAAATTCTCTCTCTCTCTCTCTCTTTTTAAGTTTTATTTCTGCTTAGGCTTTAGATAGATAAATAAATAAACTCCTTAGGGACCACAATAGATAACTGATACTCCTTAGGCCACAGTGCCAGAGAGATATGAGCAATATGAAGAGGCAGAGGAACCACTCCAAATTAAAAGAGCAAAAGAAATCCCCTGAAAGCACGATCAATGAAATAGACATTGAGGGCCTACTAGATCAAGATTTCAAAAATGGAGTGATCAAAGTACTGAAGGGACTAAAAGAAATAGTGTTTAGAGATTTAACATATGCAAAAAAATGAAATTAAAGCTATAAAGAAGAGCCAAGTAGAATTGGTAAACTCATTGGCTGAAATGAGAACTGATCTAAAAGCTGTACAAAGCAGGCTAGATAATGCAGAGGAACGAGTAAGTGACCTAGAAGACAGGACAACAGAAAGCACCCAATCAGAACAGCTGAGAGAAAAATAAATAAAAAACAATATAAGGGACCTATGGGACAATATAAAGCATGCCAATCTACTCATAATAGGGGTTCCCAAAGGGGAAGAAAGAACAAATGGGATTGAAAAGGTATTTGAAGAAATCATGACTGAAAACTTCCCAAACCTAAAGAAGGAATCAGACATTCAAGTAAGGAGGCTCAGATGGCCCCAATAGGAAGAACCCAAACAGACCCACACCAAGACATATCATAATCAAGATGGCCAGAGTCAAGGATAAAGAAATGATCCTAAAAACAGCAAGAGAAAAAACAAAGAGTGAGTTACAAGGGAACCCCCATAAGGCTGTCAGCTGATTTCTCTACAC